TGGCCGGCGACCGACCACAGGCGAGGCTCCAGCTCGCCTGATTCCGGCGAGCCGAGTCTTGCCAGCCTCGAGCGAGGCTCCACCTCGCCAGATCCGGAGAGGCCTCGGGCGAGCTTGAGTCTCGCCAGCCTCGGGCGAGGCTCTACCTCGCCAGATCCAGCGAGGTTGAGCTCGCCCAAGGCCGGCGAGGTCGAGCTCGCCCGAGGCCTCGCCGGGATCGGGCGAGCCTCGAGGTCGCCGGAATCGGGCGAGCTCGAGGCTCGCCAGATCGGCGAGGCTCGAGCCTCGCCCGAGGCCGGCAAGCTCGAGCTTCGCTGACCTTCGGCGAGGTCATCCCGACCCGGTGGCCGGTCGCAGTGGTCGACCACCGGCCGAAATAAAAAAAAAAGAAAAAGAAAGAAGAGAAAAGAAAAAATAAAAAATAAAAGAAAAAGAGAAAAAATAATTAAATTTCGATTTTTTTTAAACATCTTTATAAAGAGGGAGAGAGTGTGTGGATGGGTCTAGTGGGTGGATTGGACATGGGTTCCAAACTCAACCCATTTAGACCCATTTATCTTTAAGCTTTAAAATTTAAAACCCATTTAAGGTTGACTCTTTAAAATTAAAATGACCCATTTATTTTTAAATGGGTCATATATGGGTTTGAGACCCATTTTGACACCTCTAACCCTAGGCAAGGTCCGCTGAGGTTGTGCGAACCCAGGTGAGGCAACGACAAAGGTCGCGTGAGCCTTGCAACGGGTCGTCGAGGTCGTGCAACCTCAGGCAAGGCAAATATAGACTTCGGCGCCGCGCGAGCTTTACAACAGGTCGCCGAGGCCACGCAACCCCATGTGACAAGACATCGATGGCACGTGACCCAGGCGAACCCACGTTGGCATCCATCCAGCTCCTCCGAGCCACCTCCGCAAGGTCTAGATTTACAGGGAGATGATGAATAGTCGCGAGGGCAAGAGTGGAATATGAAAATATTAGTAGGCGCAAGTTTAAAGAAAAAAAAGTTCATTAACCTTAGAAGTTGTCTTCCGAAAATGCTAAAAGCTCAAGATAAGTCCCTGCCTGCCTTGGGCTTTCAGCTTTGCCAATGCCGGCATCTCTCCAAATTGGCCACAAAAAAAAAAATTTACCAAACGCCCTAACTTTTTTCCGAGAACTTTAAAAGCTCAAAGTTCCCTAGAAAAACTGAATCAAACGTATCATAAACATTATTGCATACGTGAATTAGAACATGACACGGATTCTATGTTTCCAAGTCAAGCTTAAATAATTGCATCTTCCGCCATCCACTCGTATTCTCATCTGCATATTAGGCACATACCCTCTCTATAGTCGTGGGGCATTGATTGTTGAAGATGGTATCCACGAGATTTAACGTGCAGGCTCCTTAATAGTCGCACAGGCGGATTGACTTTAAAGTAAGTCGGTCTTTTAGATATGCCCAGTCTTTTCGTGTGTCATCATTCTCATGTAAATATCACAACACCCGCGCGGACGACTTAAAAAGCGACGACCTTTGCCTTTCGTCAGTTAATGTAAATATCACCTCATCGGCGATAGACAGACCCTTTATATTTTTTAATATTTGGGACAATAAAAGAAAGATCCACTCTAAATAAATATATATATTTGTGTGTATGTATGTGTTTGTTACATGTGCTGCATATTATGCTCTCTTATCATTCTATGAGATGAAAAATTCATGTCATTCTTACCGATATCTCAATTTACCAACTCTTATTTGAGTTTATTAATCTTTATTTGAATGGTTAATACCATGAAAAACCCCAAACTGGTATATTTGTGATAAATTTACCAAAAACTAATTTTTTGACGCATAAAAACCCCAAACTTCTACACTTATGACAAATTTACCTTTCGTTAAATTGAATTAATACAAAAAAAAAATCACAAACTCGTATACTTGTGACAAACGGAGAATAAAATCACAAACTAATACATCTATCAACTGTCACGTGTCATTAACTCAGTAATTTGACAGTAAAATTTAACGTAGAGTAAATTTATCACAAGTGTACCGATTTGAGTTTTTTGGTGATCAAAAAATTAGTTTGAGGTAAATTTATTACAAGTGTACCAGTTTGGGGTTTTTCGTGATATTAACCCTTATTCGAAAGTTCTCAATTGAATTTTTTTTGATTAATTTATCAATTAATCGTGGATTACCAAACAATTCTCTTTTGAAGTTACATTTACTTTAATTTATCAACTTTTGTTCTCGATTATCATTTTTTTTTATTTATCTTTCGACTAAACTCCTTAAATTTGTTCATTCACTTATGAACTTTTTGTCTGACACGTTATTTTTTTTACGCACGAAAAAGGAATCGCGCTACTTCAACGCACTAAAACCTTCAACGAAGTTCATAACCAAGCTTTAAGGAATCAATCCTTCCGCAACAGACTTCGAACTCTACATAAAACTAACATGAAGGACCTCTTCGAGTTCATTCGAGGATGCAATCGGTGTCGGCGAGGTTTCAGTAAAGAAGGAGCTCATCAATGACCGCGAGATTGTCTCTGGTCTTCGAGATTCCCCAAAATATCTTCTCGGCGTCGCTCTTCCCCTTCTCCTTTATCAACCGGCCAAGCGGAGTCAAGAAGCCTGTCCGGCTCGCTGCGCACCGGAACCTGGAATCGGCTGGTCAAGAGAGCGAGGGTGCAGTGGACCGGTTGGGAGGGAAGTGGAAGAGGAAGCGAAGCGGATGTGGTGGCAGCGGTGAGAGATGACTCGAAGGAGAAGGTGAAGCCATGGATGGTTCTCTTCTCAGTCTCAGTTCTTCTCACTCTCGAAGCTCCACGTTCGAAGACGATGATATGTGCAACGCACAAAGTGTGGATAAACCGAGCAGGTGATCCGCTGTCGTTTAGGCAAACTAAGATGGACGATGTTCTATTTCCCTTTTGATATCTCCCTTTCTTCGACCATCTCTTTCTTGCTCTCTTCGAATCCAACCGCTGAGATTGATTCTAGGAAAATTAGATTCTAGTCATAGCTCAAGAACATATGGAGATTCGTAAACAATTTTAGATAAACAACGCGTCCTTCTACCACAATCCCATCATACTATGTATAAAATGAGATTATATATGATTTTCACTTTTATAACCAATTTATTTTAATTGCCAAGGCAAAAATTAATGGATATTTCTTTTCACTTTTCGTCTCTCTTTGACCAGTGGGAAGCTATGCTGATGACAAAAGAGCTTGTCAATGGTGGCCCCAGTTGAAGTCTACTTAGCTACCTATGCGATAGTGGTCGACTGAGTGAAGATTTGTCTCTATGCAAACGACGATTAATGCCTTGTACAGGATGGGTGGGATGGGGGATGTTGAAAAGATTAAGTAGACCCTTTCGATTAAAATGTAAATAAATAACAAATTTACTAAACAGTACATAATTTACTTACTAGTGAATTATATTCTAATCAAGCCATTAAGGGGTTTGCTCTCCTTGTTACCAAAAAAAAAAAATTGCCCCGAATTGCATTATGTAACCAACATATATGTAATCATCTTCTTTAAAACTACATGTTACCTTTATAATTTATTTAATTTTTCATTGGACCTATGTAAATATTCTCATTTAACCAGATTATGTTCTATAAAAATTAGATTCTAATCATCGCTCAAGAACATATGGAGATCCATATGCTATCTTAGATAAACAACGCAACCTTCTACCACAATCCCATCATACTATATATAAAACGAGATTATATATGATTTTCATTTTTATAATCAATTTATTTTAATTGCCAAGGCAAAAGTTAATGGATATTTCTTTTCATTTTTCGTCTTTCTCTGCCCAATGGGAAGCGCTGCTGATGACAAAAGAGCTAGTCAATATTGGGCCAGTTGACGTCTACTAAGACTGCGCATGGCAACCATTCTGTGTCCGGGAATAGATTCTGCTAAGAAATGATTCTTTTTAATTCTGTGCCCGGAAAGAATTTCTAAGCATTTGAAGGCGTTTGGTAACTGTCCAAAATTTCTATTCTTAGAATAGAAAAAGAACGGAAATGCGTTTGGTAACTACACAAAATTTCATTTTATTAATAATATTTTGAATTTTTTAATATTTCTTTCTTTTTTTCCTTTTTTTCTTTTTTTTTTCCTTTCTTTCCCTTCCCTTCCTTGGCCATGGCCGGTCGCCGGCGCTGGCGACCGACCACAGGCCAGGGCCGGCGAGGGCGTCGCGGCCCTCACCGCCGACCTCGCCTTGGCTGGGCGAGGCCTCGCCGTCGCGACTGCGAGCTGCCCTCGCCCAGGCGGCAAGGGCCGCGACTCCCTCGCCAACCTTGGCCTTTGGCCGGTCGCCGGCGGGCGGCGGGCGGCAGGCCAAAGAACAACAACAAACCAAAAAAAAAAAGGATAATCAAGGAGAATCAAAAATTGAAAATTTGTTCCAGAATCAAGAAGCTACTTTTTTTTGTTTCTTGATTCTCTTCCAAAACTGGGAACAATTTTTTGCAAAATTATGCCCAGGCACAAAAAATTTAACAAACAGATTTCTGTTCCCAAACTGATTCTGGGAACAAAAGAACATAAATTTTTACTATTTGGCAAGTCGCCAAATAGGCCCTAAGCTACCTAGGCGATAGTGGTCGACTGAGTGAAGATTTGTCTCTATGCAAACGACGATTAATGCCTTATAACGGATTGGATGGGGGATGTTGAAAAGATTAAGTAGACCCTTTCAATTAAAATGTAAATAAATAACAAATTTACTAAACAGTAAATAATTTCCCTACTAGTGAATTATATTCTAATCAAGCCATTAAGAGGTTTGCTCTCCTTGTTAACAAAAAAAAAATTTGCCCCGAATTGCATTATGTAACCAACATATATGTAATCATCTTCTTTAAAACTACATGTTACCTTTATAATTTATTTAATTATTCGTTGGATCTATGTAACTATTCTCATTTAACCAAATTATGTTCTCTTAAGAAAATCGTGCACACACTAGTAATCTAGAAAGTGAAAACCTAACAAATGGGAACCCCAGCTGTTAATGCATTTGTTTAGATCATTACATTGTACACATGAACGAGGATCATTGGCATGGATAAGGCACATTTTTGCAACCAAACATGCCTTTCTTACTTAACAGTAAATTCATGCATCATCCTTTAAGTTCTATACAGATCCGTATTGATTCTGGGTGAGCATGGGTACAGGGTAGAATAAAAAACCACACCAAACGGGCCATAAAAACTGATCCGATTCCCGGTTCCAAAAAAAGTGAAATCGTTACGGTGCAATTCGGTTCCCAGTTCCTGAGTAAGAACTGAACCGAAGAATTGGACCAGGAACCGATGAATCGCAGTTACACATTTTGAGTTTTGAATTATTTATTTTTATTTTATGTGTTCATCTTTTATAAATTGTTGTTATTGATAAATGATGATTTTTATTATTGTGTTCACTTTCATCTTGCTTAACTAAAAATGAAAGAAAAAAGGAAGGAAAAAATGAAACAAACAAAGAAAAAAATAGGTCGATTCCCTTGTATAAAGTGGTCTATGCTCAGAACAAAACTTGGCTAATGCAGGTATTCAGTCCCCTTGGTGTTCCATATGAGACTCTTAGATCTCAACAAATGCAGGCATTCAGTCCCCTTGGTGCCCCTTGCAGGACTCTCATAACTTAGCGAATGCAAGTATTTAGTCCCCTGTAGTGCCCTCATAGGTCATACCCTGTCGAGAACAACTTTTAATATCTAACTAAATTCTTATCTATCGAGATCGATTTTTAGCATATAGCTAAATTCTTACATGTTGGGACTAACTTTTAGCATCTAGCTTAATTCTTACTCTGAACATAACGCTTTCTGGCCTCATTATCAGAATAAGGTACTATCTTACTATTCTAACATCCCTAATACCATACAGGAACCAATCGACAGAGTGGGTTTCAAGTTTCAAGGTATTGGAACACTGGGGAATCGGTTCTGACAGGACAGGTTCTAAGTTTTAGGTGGAACCTTAACTGATTCTGAAACCGCTCACCTCTAATATTAGTAACTTGGTAATCGTATTATTATCGTGCTCGTATTTTTTTTTTTTGTGAATTTAATGAGTTTTGAATGAGAACTTTAGGATTGTGACACTACACCCGAGAAGGTGCAATCATTGATGTGCCTTCTAGATACCATACAAATTTGCTCAACTGTCACACAAACAAATTATTCACACTTTCGGTCCGAAACTATTTTCCACATCTAATATGATATGTATATTGACTTTACATATAATATGTATTGACTTAAAGACTCGGATCACGACTTGATAATCAAAGCGCGAGAGGGCATATCCAGATCATATCCAACGTGATGCGAGTGACATTAATTAATTCAACATACGTCAACTCGTGAACATATCATCTTCGATCGCAGGCAAAGACGACTTGCAGAGCGACCTCGAGAGCTGTATTAAATTTGTCTGACACGGATGCAACGACGCACAGGAACCGCAGCTTGACTTGTTAGTCGCCCCAAAACAATTCGCAAAAATTGTCTCAAAAATCTTAAATTTATTATACTTTTGCTAATTCAGTCCTAAACTTTTTAAGTTTGTCAATTCAGTTATAAACATTTTCACTTCTTACCAATTAAGTTCATTCAGCCAATTTTGGCCGGCTGACGCTGACGTGACAATTTTTAAATACTTTTTTCGAATTTTTTAATTTTTTTAATTTTTTTTTTCTGCATTCTTCCCTCTGGCCGGTCCGGCAACCGGCCAGAGGCGCGGGCCGGTGAGGTTGACCTTGCTGGCCTCTAGTGAAGCTCACCCCCGTCGGCCACTGGCAAGGGCGAGCCTCGCCCGGCCACAACGAGGTGAAACCTAGCGATGGCGAGGTTGGCCTCACAGTGGTTGGGCGAGGCCGGCCAGCGCCGTTGTAGGTCGGCTTTGCCTTGGCTGGGTGAGGTCAGCCTGGCAACGGCGGGCGAGGCTTGCCCTCGTTAGTGACCGGCGGGGGCGAGCTTCGCTAAAGGCCGGCAAGGTCGACCTCGCTAGCCAGCGCCTCTGGCCGGTTGCCGCTCATCGGACTGGTCAGAGGGAAAAAGGCAAATATATATATATTAAAAAAATTTAAAAATTTTGGAAAAAAATATTAAAAAATTCGAAAAAAATATTTAAAAATTGCCAAAATTTTTAAATATTGCCCGGATGAACTCAATTAGCAAGAAATGAAAAGGTTTAGAACTGAATTGATAAACTTAAAAGATTTATGATTGAATTGGTAAAAGTGCAATAGGTTTAGGACTTTTTGGATAATTTTCCCAAAACAATTCGCAAATCCTGCTCTCTTTTTGTCTGGCGGACGGAAGAAAGAGACAATAACTCCAAAGGAGGGTGAAGATGTCGAATACATATGCTGCGTCATGATCTAGTCACCACCATGTTTTCAAAGGCTAAAGATATTGTAAATTTATGACTCTTGCGTTGACATATGGTCATCATCTTCGTTGACTTATCTTGACGGAAGTCTTTCTTTTTTTTTACGTGGGCATCAGCTCATGCAGCAGATGGCGTTGCTGACACTACGCACGACATGCCATCGACCACGTCGCGTGCGATGTTGAACTAGAACAATGATTAGGTTGAGATCTCGAATTCTCTCTCTAGGTCGACAAAAAGAACCCATTTGCTAAAAGCAAAAGGGTTCATATCACAAAAAAATTTTAATTAATATATTTATTTTAATTTTATTCAAAATTAATTTTTTGATCATGAAAAATCTTAAACTGATACATCTGTGACAAATTTACCCCAAACTAATTTTTTGACCATCCAAAATCCCGAACTGATACATTTATGATAAATTTACCTCTATTTATTTCCATTAAATTGAATTAATACCACAAAAAATCATAAATTAGTATGCCTGTGACAAACGGAGGGTAAAATATAAAATTGATACATCCGTTAATTGCCGCATGTCATTTAACAAAGCAATTTGACAATAAAATTTAACGAAAATAAACTGAGGGTAAATTTATCACAGGTGTACCAGTTTGGAGTTTTTTGTGTTCAAAAAATTAGTTTGGGGTAAAATTATCATAAGCGTACCAGTTTGGAGTTTTTCGCGGTATTAACCCAAAGCAAAAACAATTGCACAACTTTCTTTTGCGTAAGAAAGAGAAAGCAGGTGGGAGAGTGATCACATCGAGATCAATCCTTTCTTTTGGCACGTACTCCTTCGCGCAGCCAAACGCACCAAAAACTTCATTGTTTCGAGTTAAAACGACTTCGCGTGTGTATTGAGGTCAAGTCAAGCGTTCCATCCTCATAGTAATTCTCATTATTATCCAAATAGATAACACCAATGCCTTGCTAGATCCACTTTTTTGGTTATCTTGTTTGGTGAAGATTATTACCTTTAAATTTCGATACGTGGACTCACTTTGTACTAATGCAATTTCTGGATCACTACACATTAGCAATATCTGAAAAGATGAAATGATTCTTTCATAAATAATAGGGAAAATAATATAAATAATTTTTAAACTTTGGCCCAACGTGCGATATCATTCTTGGACTTTAACTATTAGTAAATGTTCAATGTAGTCCTTCTGTTTGCTCAAACGACATACCATATGTTATTTAATGTCGTGGATTGTTATATGTTTAGTTGAATTTTTGAATATGATGAGTCAATGGTCTATCTTTTTATGCATCTACTTTAAAAAGGGAAAACAAAAATTAGGGCATTAACATGTTTATCGTTATTTTGATGACGTGAATTATTATATCATGATTTAATATGAATATCTTACTTGGATAATATATGTATAACATTTTTTGCTTGTCCATATTCAAACTTAACAGATTAGAAGCCACATCAGTACATTTCATCAATTAGACTTAATAGAAGGATGACATTAAACATTTTCATATAGTTTAGGGACTAAATTAAACATTTACCAATAGTTTAAAGATTACATTGAACAAATTAAAAGTTTAGGGACAACGTTACACATCAGACCAAAGTTCAAGGATCATTCGTATCATTTTACCTAAATAATAAGAGGTCTATGTCATAAATTCTAAAATACCCGTTCGCATCAGTAGACATTAATGAGATAGTTTGGCTTCTGATGATGCTAAAAGGAGGTCCGCTTCAAGAGTTTAAGTTATTAAATGAAGAAACAGACATATATACAGTGCAACTCTTCAACGGATACTGGAATTCCATTATATGTTTTCTTCCTCAACTTTCAAATGGCGGTATAGTTATCCATGGATGGGATCTAACATAACCTAGACAAGCAGCACGCGTAGGCGACAAATTCCAACTTAAGGTTAAAGCAACAAATAATTACATCATCTGCCATTGAGAAGAGACTAATAATGAACAATAATTAACAACCGCAAACAAGATAATAATAATACTTAGTTCTCTTTTTTTTTTTAAAAAGTCAGCTGTACGCATCTAGTGCACAAATTAGCTGCATGTCCTTGGGCCCCTAAATCAGATTTATCCATCGAATTAAGACTTGAAAATGCACGTATTTGATTTCATGTAAAAAAATTGTCACGTATTTTTGCTTTTATTTCCGAAGATCAAAGGAAATAACTCCTGGACAAGGCAAATCGGTGATCTTCAAATAGTTAGGGTATAGCTAGGTTACGTAGCTTAATTGTTCATAAATGCCTCGTCAATCCAGACTCCTAGCTATACTCGCGCGTGGGGAAGCATTTACATGTTTAGATAGAAAACGGGACGTTATTTAAACATTTTACCTAGTTTTCATAATTATTATTCAAATAATGCAGAGCATCCACTTATAACTTTAGCCCATTATTTTATATTTTCTTGGTTCACACAATTTGAATATTCAACAAATTTCGAAATTTTCATTGATTGTTTAAAGAATAGAGTTTTTCTATGCTAGTAGTCCAAGGCAAATGCAAGTGCCTAACGACTATCAAGCCAATCACTTTCCCGGAAACTTCATTGCCATTATTTCGTTTCTCCATTTTGAAAAATTCCAGGAGGTGGAACCACCAAAATCCTCAACCACTTTCATGATTAAGGATGTTTTACCACATTACTAGGAAAATTGTTGGGGC